GAAAACAAAAATTACGAAAATCGACGTCCACTCGAAAATGAGGTCCACCTCTTCCTTTTATCGTAGTTGCCGTAGTTCTATAAGAGTGAAAATGAAAAGCTGTGCAAAAGGTGAGCACTAGTCCTAGTCATTAATGGTGATTACCTTGTAGATTGGAAATGTCTTTTAGCGAAGGAAAATTTGGTGCAAAAATTTGTTCGAAGTGTCGCAGGACTTTTCGTCCAACCTAATATTTTCATTTTGTTTTTATTTTCTAATTTTTGTATTTTTACGGTACTTTTTATTTTTTTTGTCGCAGAGAGCATATTCAGGAAATGAGCATCGACATATCAGATGAAAGTTCCATTGATTATGACGTTATCGTGGTCGGTGCAGGTTTGGCCGGATTAAGTGCTGCCAGAGAAGTGCTCAAATTGGAACCAACACTACGGGTAAAACTGTTATTTTTTTCATCGAAATTCATCAGGGTAGTCAACATTGAACCCTTCATGCAATTTTTCATGCAATTTTTTTGCTGCAATCACCGCTCCCTTTAAATTTTGCTTTATTTTGCTTGTGGAATTCAACAGTCGAGGAACCCTATTTTTAATCGACTCTGTTGCTCCATAATCCATTTTTTTCTGCTACTAGGGACCCAGCCTAAATCACAGGCCTCATCATGAGCGGCGAAGAAGATATTCTTCCAGGCTATATTGCTCACAATTTTTAAATATACTACTTCAAAAGAATAACTGACCCTCCCAAACAATGACTTTGAGCAGCGATTAATTATTGGATTAATTATTTATTAATCAATAAGCTTTCGAAAGTGGATAGTATGCATTAAGTATCACTAGAAGGAGGTAATTCAAAAATATTGAAATTGTTCGATTCTGGCTCAGCTGTCATCAATGGAGTGAATGGAGTTGCAATCAGGTACTCGTTCTTGAAGCTAAAGAACGCGTCGGAGGAAGGACGTTGTCGGTCCCTATGAAAGCCGCCAGAGGTGGCTCACTAAAAGCTGAGCTTGGAGGTTAATTATTTTTGATGTTTTCAATGACTTTTACCACATATTTTCTTCTTAAGGTACATGGGTATGCAATGAGCAACGAAATATCCTGCAATTAATCGAGGAACTCGGTCTCATAACAATCCCACAATATTCGAATGGGATAAAATGGGCACAACTGGGAACGCCCGGATGGAGGCCATACACTAACAGCCGCCCTATGAAAAGCATATGGTACTCAGTCAGAACAGTGAAGGTTTCCTGGAAAACTGTCTGATGTACCTCTTGCTTCCAGGGATTTCTCAACCAGTGAAGTATTGAATCTATGGTGGAACGTACGAAAAATGGAGAAACTCGCTGAAAAGGTGGGTAGATTGCTTGTTGAAAGATGATTGGTAGGCGCAGTTCGTGTTGTTGGAGCTGACTGGCTCCTCATTGGGAAACGGCCAAGAGAATCGTAATTTGCCGCTCCGGCGCGCGCGGCGATGGGCGCGGCGTTCCTCAACTCATGTTAGCCTGTCGATTGGAGCACCGGTTTTCACGTCGGCTACGAAACTGTAGACATTTATGACTATTTTTGGTTCTACATTGCCTGTTGTCGCCATCTACGACCTGGAACCATCGTCGTTTGCGGGCGCGACGTCGCACGCGACGCCCATCAGCGCGGCAAACTACGATTCTCTTGTCAGTACCCCTCCTCATCGGTCACTGCTGAAGAAAACGAGCTGAGGCTTCTCGCGGAGACCTGCAAAGTCCGATAAAGCTATGTAATAGCATGAGCTTCGTTTAGTCTTGACAAGAGTTTACACGTCCTATCAAGATGACACGTGTAGTTCAACTGGAGCTAGCAGAGGAAAAGTGCAAGAACAAAATGCCCCTCTTCAAGCAAAACAGCGCCTAATTGGTCCCATAGAAGTGTGTTCGAGGTGTGTACAACACTTCACAGTGTTCTTGGGCGACATACTGTTTTTCGCCCAAGAACTTTTTCCTTAGAAATTTTCAAAACAAAACAGCCATGCAGCCAAAATGCACCCTATAATGAGAAGGCTCTTCCAATGGTCAGTAATTCTTCATTGTTGGACCAAGCTCCACTGTGAAACAGGAGACATTCGGGGGGGGGAGGAGGACGGGGTAGCAGCACCGGCTTCGACGGCTTCTGGATAGGACTAAACTGAATGGAAGCAGCTTTCAAGAAACGTGAAGTGTAAAGGTCTCCAATTTATTGAGTGTTCCAAGTTTCAAAGTCATCTCGAGTGAACGATAAAAGGGTGGTCGGGCTGCCGGGTTCCCAGTGAATTTACTATGCAGGACTACTTTCGTAGTGGTTTCTGTCGTCTTTTTTGAATGGGCAGTTGAAAACTAGGCGCAGATTGGCTCAGTGGGGGCACGAGATGGCACTAAGCGAGGCTAGTTCAGGCTTTCTTATGAAGATCTGTAAACTTCTGCAACCAAAGCGGTTCACTTAAACCATTCCGCTGCTTCGCAGGAGTTTATAGGTCTCAATGAGGTGTGACCTGTCAATTAACGTGAACTAGCCAAGGAACTATCGAAAGTGCAGAATGCCCCTCTCAAGCCGAACAGCGCCAAGAACCTACTGCTAACAAGGGAACCCCAACAGGTCGATCCGGCCATTTGCAATGAGATGTATGTATATGGACGTGTCTTGAGCCGCTGAATCCAAATCTGCCCTCCGAATTTGCGGAACGATTCTCTGAAGGGAGTTACGGACCATTTAATCTTTGCTCTGTTTGCACAAGTTGAGAACGATAACTGCATGCGGCAAGCGGCCGATGGCCTAGTGGATAAGCGCACTGCTTCAGAGACACGAGGTCGCATGTTGGAATCCTTGACTCTTGAAACTTTTGCTTTTGTTCAAAACACTTCATATGAGCCCCCAAAAAACTTCTGTTTGGCCATTTTACCTAGTTCTTTGATTATTTGCCAACAGAAGGCGGCCGATTCTCCATTTCTGGTTCCTTTTGAAAACTTTCACTATGAGGATAACCGTTTCTAGAGCTTGCATCGAGGAATGAGGGTCTTACGGTTTAAGAGCACATGTGTTATCCTTCCACGAACCGATAGAAACAATACATGTTCTCGCAATAAGCACAGCGAAAGAAAAGGTACTCTGCACGCACGGTACGGTTACAGTTCTCCACCAGTCGTTTTAAACAAAAGCAAAAGTTTTCGGGAATCAAGGAACCAACATGCGGACTCGTGTCTCTGGTGCAGTGCGCTTATCCCCTAGGCCATCTGCAACTTGCCGCACAGAAGTTATCAAATGGTCCGTAACTCCCTTCAGAGAATCGTTCCGCAAATTCGGAGGGCAGATTTGGATTCAGCGGCTCAAGACACGTCCATATATATACATCTCATTGCAAATGGCCGGATCGACCTGTTGGGGTTCCCTTGTAAGTGAAAAGTGAAAGTTCACAATTTTGTCCCGCATATGGCGCTGGCTTATGAATGAATATGGAAACGCTTATAAGTTCAAGTTATCGCTAGTCGTCAACAAATGTGATTCTTCCCTTTCAGGTTGATGTGAAGAATCCGTTCAGTTGGCCCCAGGCGAGTAAGTTGGACGAGATCTCGTTAGCGCACTGGATTCGGCAGAACGTGACGGGACGCGGTGCCCAGGACGCATTGGAAGTTGCTGCTCGTGCCACATATGGTGTGGAACCGAATAAGCACGTACCTCTTTCCTTCTCTTGTTAGCTGCACTAGACCAAGGGGGGACGAGTCCAGTCGATGAACCCTTTTCTAGGCACATCATGAACTTCAGCGACTCTTCCCCTCGATAAATGCAAAAACTGTGAAATTTATTGAAATTGTTCAATTTTGTAAACTCACGCTCAGATTGACCTCAAAAGAAGCAAGACTCAGTTCCCATGGGGAAACGCGGATTATTCTTTCGGGTTTAGTGTCTTGCCAGCTTGTTGGTGGAGCATTTACACTTTAGGCCCTACCTAGACCTGAACCTTAGTTTTGTGATCGGTTCACATTCTACCCCACCGCCTCCTCGCTGGTCCCATTCCTTAAATGGAGAGGCCACTGATGCAGGAGGGCGTTAGCCACTTGTGAATAGATAATACTACAGTACAAGGGGGGGGTCCCGGCGAAGACAGCGTATTATCTTGCCCACTCTCCCCATGCATACGTACGTCTCTACCTTTCTTCCATTCGGGAGCTCTCAGATATCGTAGCTAGACCACACTGTCTTGATATGCCCACACAGTGCTCTCGATCGGCTACTGTCATGGCTTTTCTTCCCTACAGGGCCTATACGTTGCTGTCAGACTCGTCTGGAAGACAGAGTACAACATCTTTGCGAAAATCTCTTTAGGGAGTCGTACATGGTCGTTGGGGAAGGGGGGGGGGGCAAGGACGTATTTGCTCGATGGTGATACCTAGCACTGATAGATAACTGTCTTTCCCGGCCTCTTCTTAGCCGCGAGACAATTTCTTCGGTTTTTGACTTTTTGCGACTTCGTACGTCTCACACGTACGTATGTACCGCCACCAAAATCCTATGCAACTACTATTTTTGGGCAGTTGAAGTTAGCGCTTGTATATGACCACCCCACCTCCCACCCAGGGTACGGTATCGTTGTGCGAACACATAGGCGGCCGTACTTTTCCGCTGGGGAGGGGGGGGTCGTATTTGGTCGTGCTAGAGGGAGGGGGTCGCATGTGGCTTTGAGAGAAATTTGCCGCGTTGGGAGAAAATTTTTTCCGGTTGTTGACTTTTCGCGGTTTTTCCCCCGTTTCACTGGTGCCATGATACTACAGTCGTCATCCGGTGACTTGATTATTGCGGCAAGGGACGCGACGCGGCTGCGGTGTGTTGCGAGCGCGGCGATCAGCTGTTTCCAGCCTATTTTAGCCATTTTCTCCCTAGTTTACGCTGTTTTGGCTGCTTTTCTCACGATTATTTTCTATTTTTTGAGGTTGGTTGTTCTATCGTCTAGCGTAAACTAGGGAGAAAATGGCTAAAATAGGCTGGAAACAGCTGATCGCCGCGCTCGCAACACACCGCAGCCGCGTCGCGTCCCTTGCCGCCCAAATCAAGTCACCGGATGACGACTGTATATACCTTCATCCCTCCTCTACGAAAATTTTTGGGTGGAAAAATTGGAAAATGTAGGAAATTTCAGAAAAACTGGTATTAAGCTGGCAACTTGTTGGAAGTGGTAGGTGGAAACAGTGGTGGGGGGGTGTTCGTATTGGCACCACCATTTCACACATCACGGTGCTGTACTCTGCCCCCACCCCTAGCTCCCTCGATTTCAGAGAAATATGGAGAAGTTTCAGGAAGACTGGGGGAAGTGGTAAGGAGTAGGGAGAACTGAGGAAACTGAGGAAGGTTGGCAAAGGCCGCACCGGAGGAAGAAATTTTGTGGGAGGGATCGTCTGACATCGCCGTTCTCCCATGCCGATGCAGAACCCTGTTAGTAGGATAGAAACACTCCCTTGCACGTCGGTGTCCCCGCAAGTCATTGCTGAAAAGGTTGGCTATGAAATCCTCCAGCTATGGACACACCATCTGCCCACTGTTAATTATCTTTGCTAACACTCACGACTTGCTCATGTAAACCGCGGCTGCATTTGACCTCTGTCGACACATATTTCTTTCAATTTTTTTCTCTGTTTGATCAACTGAATTGATGACAATTTCAGGGTGAATATGCTGTACCATCTTGCTCTCTGTAAGTCTACGGGAACATTCAGTAATCTCATCAACATTGGCGGCGGAAGTGCACAAGCTATGCGAGTGGAGGTAGGTCACGAACGAGGGTTGCGTTAGATAGAAGGTTTTACGTCAAAATTTTGCAAGTGTTCTAATAAGTCTGGTCCTGTCACCACCGCGGTACGTTCTGCTACAGGAAAAGATTTGCTGAATACGACCTTCTTTTGAAACTTTCTCCCCTAGCAAGACGTATTTACCCATATCGTATCTACATGGCACCTACCATCTTCCTGAATTTTTCCAACTTCTACCTCACGGAGTTCTTTTTCCCAAAACTCTACTTTTTCACTTTTTTCCAAGTAATCACTTTCGTGCGGGAAGGAGGGATATACAGGGGGAAAAACCATGGCAAATCAACAACGGAAAACATTCTCCTTGAAGGTAAGTGCGACCTCCCTCCCTAATTTGATGGAAAACGTCAAGAACAATACGCTTCTTCCGTACCAATTCTAGGGTGGAACGGAACAAATTTGCAAACGGCTAGCGGTTCAGATTGGGAAAAATCGAATTATTCTCAACAGAGCAGTCGAGCAGATTGAAGTTGATGAACAGAACGGCGTCACAAGAGTGCACACCTATTCTACTAACGCCACAGGTGAAAAGGTGATTTTATTGCTGCCCAGATAAGCATTGTGATGCGTCTTTGGAGGGTTCAGCAGTTTAGCTTCGCCAAGAATTTTATTGATTCGTTCAGGTTTGGAAAGACCTCTACTCGTGGATGCCAGGTTGTGTCAAGGGCCTGGGCTAGACGTTTGCAAGCTCTGATACGTCCACCCACTAGCACCAGTTGTCCACTAATGGTGGGAGCTGGAAAGCGTTCACTATTGGTGCAGAACCGGCTAGCGCCGCGCCAGTCCAGCCCCCTGGCACTCCCAAGCGTCTGCGAAGAAGGCCGGTCATCCCCTATTATTATGAAATTTTTCAGATCATGTACACTTGCTCGCAAGTGATCTGCGCCGTTCCGTTGAATCAGTGCGCAAGGATATCATTTTCTCCACCGTTGCCGCACCTAAAGGTAGCAGTTACCAGTTAATGCCTTGATTTCGAGCATAATCTCGCCACAAACTTTCAGCAACAACTCTTCGAGTCATGTTTGCCTGGGAGCATGATCAAGTTCGTGATCGCATTTGAGACCGCTTTCTGGAGAGAAGAGGGCTGGTCTGGAGAAGTGGTCAGCACTGGTCGAACAACGACGCCAAACGAGGTATGCAGCAGTACTAATCGTTTTCGCTTCGGATGGTGAGGCATGTAGGCTGGATTTGGCGCATATGGTCGCCTGCCCGCTTCAACAATTGGTGGAGAACGTGCTGGCGCCGTGCCAAACCCAGCCCCCTGACACGCCCCAATGTTTGCAAAGAAACAAATCTACCTTCGTGAAGATTTTGGCTAGTCGCTTCTAAGAAACTGCTCTTCAGGTGAACCCTACAAATAGCTCATAATTAAGGTGCTTCCAGTCAACTGCACATTCGACTATACCTCCATCTATGGGATTCCAGCATTAGTTGGTTTTATGAACGAAGGATTCACAGGTGAGAGAGAAATGCACTAATCAGAATATGGCAATAGCTTAAAGGCTGAATTCGCGATGAGCTAACGAAATGTTCATGGGTAGGGTAGGGTAAGAAGAGACATACCATTTTCACTTCAAATTCACCACTTTTCAAACCAAATTCACCCCTTTTCAAACCAAATTCACCACCTTTTTCCAAATCAAATTCACCACACTTATTAGGCCGCGCAATTCATCAACCAGATCACGCCAGACACTACTCCGAGCCCTCCCCCTCCCCGACGGCTACGCCTACTTGTCAGCGCGCAACATAGACCTTTCGCTTACACGGTTCAATGTTCCGGATATGTCGGATTACGGAGCTGACTCGGCTCCATATCTTAGAACGTGTGAAGTGCTGTAATCTGGGCCATCTATCAAAGGAGGAGGGGCATAAAACCCGTTGAGTTGGAGAGGGCAAAATCAGCCTGGTGGCGTAACGGATAGCGCGCTCGCCTGGAAAGCGTGAGGTGAGGGTTCGACTCCCGCTTGGGCTTCGACTGTTTGGCTCATAACGTCAGTAATACTGTGATAACGCTCGTCAAATTTCGCACTGCTTGTGTCCAGCGAAAGACCCAGCGATAGGAGTGCACTATCGGCGGTAAGAGCCGAGAGACAAGCAGCGAGCAGGAGAAAGCAAACAAGCATATGACATCAGACAAAGACTTCTATCCAAGGAGTGGAAGTTACTTGAGCAAACCTGGCTTATACATCCTGCTTACCTGACGCTGTACGCTGAAACTCGTGCAAGGTTGTCCGTTGCAGTCCACACTACCTCTCTACAAATAGCTCAGATAATTATGAGTGGTTATGGGTTCTGCCTTTAATGACTCGATTTAGATGATCAAAAGAGAGAAGAACGGGGTTCTTATCCATGCAGGCTGCTTATTCACAGTTCACATCAAGCCCTATAACAACTGAGAAATGCCCGTTTTCCTGTCAATTGAAACTTTCATATTCAGACATGACCAAGGAAGATCGATGTAACGCAGTTGTTAATGACCTGATGCGAGTTTTTGGTGAACGAAGCCATGCGGTTACGTTCCTGCGACTATCGGGAAAGGTTCATTGCAGTTCTTATTCAGGATATCGTTTCTAGCGCGAACACTGGTGCTGTTTAGCTCAGGGAGGCGGGGGGGGGGCATTTCGCACCTTCGCTTTTTCCCCGTGTCGTGTCGAGTCATCGAATGGAGCCTAACTATGAAATCTTGTCGAAGCAGTATGAACACGACGAAAAGTGCGAAACGCTCCACCAAGCCCGCGCTGCGTCCGACAGACTCATTACATTCCTTACCACTTGCTTCTTCTCTAGGTATGGAGGCAGGAGCCGTTCATGTCATCGGCTCACGAGTTTGTTTCCCCTGTGTGAACAATGCGACTCGATGGTTACGATACGTGAACCATGTTGAGACGTAAGTATTACCGTGCTGATTCAAATCGGCTTTGCGCACTGATTATGTGTTCTAAAAGCAATCGCTTTGCTACAGACGGCGGGGCATATTAGAGAAGGGGCTGGGTTGTTGGCGCGAAGTCGGGCAATGGGACATGGTCCGTAGGATGAGGTATGGCGGAACCGGGCATCCGGGAAATCGCCCTCCCGCTTAGTCCTCGTTTTCCGCACTTGTTAACCGGGTTAGAATTTGTTCTCGGCCTACTGGGATTGTCTATAAGTGCAGCTCTGACGCCTCCCTAGATTGTCCCGTCCCAAATGAGATCTCAGGAGAGTATTCTCGGTCGTTCGTTTTTTACACCGTGGTTTTTGTCTTTTTTTCGCACTACTAGACGACATTAGCATAGGATGACGGGAAGAAAGGAATAGTGGGCCAGAAGGGTCGCTCTGCCGGCATAGAACGAGCAGGTCTGGAGAACTCTTCCAGGGAGGCGGCCAGGCCTTAATTAGGGTAATCTCCATAATTTTTTTCACTTTTTTCTCCCCTGAAAAAGCATTTAGCGACCATAGGTTTGCAGTTGAATGCCACATTCAACAATGCACGATAACGGGGTTCTTCTTTAAGCATTCATTTTGCTGGAGCCGAAACTGCCTTCGAAATGGATTGGATACATGGACGGTGCTGTTGAAAGCGGGTTACGTGCTGCACATGAAGTTCTCCATCAACTCGGCCATCACGACAAAATTTGCTACACCCTTCTAGTGAGTTTCTCCTGATTGTTTTGCTCTTCAGCCCCGTCGACTATTTTTTCTACCATGGCTATTATGACCGCAAAAAATGAATCGAAGGCGTCAAGTGGTTTCTATTGAATTAGTTCATCAAAGCGGTCCATGCCTAGGCACTCCCTGTCGTTGGAGGATAGTTTTGCAAAATACATACGACCACCTTTCTCACAGTTGCCTTCCTTGGAACGACCCCTCCTACTGCATTGACCGCCTTCGATTCATCCAATTTTTCTCATCTTCCTACCTCCTTTCAGCAGTTTTTTTTCCGAAAATTCCAAATCTCTTGCATTTCGGTCCGAGAAAGCTACTGTTGACGGGGAGGGGGAGGGTGAGCATATGGCACCCTTTATGCAGGAAAACCAAGGGAATGCCACCTACCGAGAACATTCTCGTAGGCAAATACGACCCATTTCTCCACGTATATAAATTCATGGGACCCCATCTCTGGTGATCCCCAACGTACATTGATTCTGTCAGAAAGGCTGGCTTGGCGCTGCGCCAGCCCGGGCGCTGATTATCGACGGGGAGGGGGCATTTTGTACTATCACTTGTTCCGGTTTGCAAATCTCACTTTGGTAAAACTTGTGAACTCTTGTAAAGCTGGAGCAGGATCGTCTAGCCACCATCCCAAAACGTGTCAACTCGAGAAAACGCTACCTAGATGGGTCGACACATCTATGGAAAGCAAAATGCCCCCCCCGTCGATAAACTGCGCCCGCTAGCCCGTTTCCAACCACCTATTGAAGAGGCCAAACGACAACAAATGTTGGAAAACGGGCGCGGTGTTTAACGCAGCCCCCCCCCACTGACGCGGCCGGCCCAGCATCCCTCGCGAACTATACACGTGCTGTTTCAGAAGGATTCAGTATACGACCACGACTACAGGCAACCACTTTCGACTTCAAAACATTACGTGGAAAGGCGATCGTGGTGGTAAGTTTCTTTTCTCAACAAACAATCTTCAATAGTAAACGCTAGAGTAGACCACGGGTGATTGCTGTCCTGTGTGAACCAAAGTATTGAGAATTTTATCATGAGCCTTTCCGCCTCCTTATATGCATGGTGGCCAACGAGTTTAAGGCACCGTGCGTAAGGCACCGTCACTCCTACAAGCGTTTTTGTTTTTGGTCGTCTCTTGCCTTCTTACGAAAACTGCGTTTCAAATAGTCCATACACAGGCGTAAGCTAACTCATGTTAGGTGCTGCTTCTTTGTGCTCTTATGCAAGCTGTGAAGCACTTCTCCATATAGTCGACCGCGCCCTTCAGAAGCCCAAGTCCCACTCGTGCCCGTCTGTTTATTCTTCGCGACGAGCGCTGTTCTGCTCGTAGGGGCACTCCCCACGTCTGCCAGTTCCTTGTGCTGGTTCATGTTTATTCACAGGCCTCGTTTTTGTGAACCTGTGAACTTCTGCCAAAAATTCTTAAACTAAACCATTTTGAGTACGTGAATTTACAGTCTTTACAAGATGACGTTTAGAAGCTTATCAGAGCGCGATCTACGGTGTCGCCACCAAGCCGAAATTGGACCTGCGCCTTCTCGCCTCGAATAGCGATATGGCTGCAAGCTATTGCGACATGTGGTGGTCGGAGGCGTAGGAGCGGCAGTGCGGCACTGAGCTTTGGGGATCGAGCAGTGATCGATGTGGGAAGGAACAGGCCACCTGTTTGAGTAAGGCGCTCGACAGTGGGAAAGCGGCTGATTTGCGACGCGACATATGCGAGTCCAGCAATGATGAAGGATCAATCTTCACTCAGTGGGTGCTGTCCGAGGAGATATATGGGTTCGAGATAACGATGGTTTTTGCAATGGTCGCACTAAACCTGACAGATTTAAAAACTGCTCTATCAGGGACACAATTTTGGCATACAGGCGCTCCCATAATCTGGTAGAAAAAGGTTAGAGCATCAAGGCTGTGGGCGCTAATCACCATTTGGTAATGGGGGTTGGCACTGGCCACGTTGACGGCAGCCCTAGCATCTGGAGCTCGAGTTGGTGCTCGTTCATCATACTTGCGATGTTGGATGCCACTGTTCCGCAATGCTGCTACCCACCGTCCACTCGCCACGGCCCATCTACTTCCTCCATTTTGCCCTATGTCATCTGGATTATTAGACTATCACCGATCCTATTTCGTGCCGGTGTGATCGTTCTCAAGTGTGTCAAGCCACTAAATCGCTCCGCTATGTGGCTTCTGACTGTGAGAACAAGGCAAGCGTACATCAATAGTGCTTATTGCAGAGCGAAAATTAGCACACGAACGAAAGATAGGGGGAGTGTGTACACCGGAAGTTTCCACTTTTGAGCTCACTAGACAAACTTATGTGAAATACTGGCGGTAGGGACAAGTGTTTGGCCTCTGACGGCCGTGTTCGGGTCGCAGTAAAAATAATGCATTTCAGGCGTCGTGGTATTTTCTTCATCACAGCACTGTGCCTTGGTATCCTTGTATACAGCAAGAAGTACAAACTGTCGTACACCGCGAGAGCCATGAAACCTCTAGAGACGCACTTGGTTAAGTTCTCACCGTATCCGACTGGCGCACAATATAACATTTGTATGTATATGTTAATTTATAGGATTGTGTCTATTAGCCAATATGTACGAGAAATCGTTCACTACATTATGGCTACAAAGGAGAAGCGCTGGACCAGAGATCTAAAGGTCACCAGTTCGATCCTGGTTCGGGGCAATGTTTTGCGATGGTTGATCTGCTTCTGAGTATAAGGGTCACATTGCTCATGCTCAACATGGTTGCAAAGGTGCCTAGAATTATTGTTAGTACGAGCCCATGTGGCTGGAGGACGAGTGCGAAGGCCTCGAATAGCCCTCAGTTTGGACACAACCCGAGATACAACAAGATCAACACACACACCACACACATTACTTATCAGGCCAATGGTTGGCTGATAGTTGATTCCTGCTTCTGATTTATGAGCGTCAGCAGCTGCTCATGCTCAATCATGGTGTGCAACAGTTGTCTATTGTCATTTTGTTGTAAACGAGGACAGTGTCAGCTGAGAAAGTAGTCGGGCAGGGGCCTCGGATCAGCTCAGTTGCGGAGAGCGTTGACTGAAGATCTAAATAGGTTCTACCAGTTCCGAGTCTGGTTGACGGGCAACTGTTTGTCGATAGTTGAGTTCTGCCTTCTGATTATGAGCGTCACTATTGGCCGCATGCTCAACATGGTTGCAAAGTTGTCCTACAATTTTGTTAGTAACGAGGAAGTGTGAGCTGAGACGAGTGCAGGGCCTCGATAGCTCAGTTGGGAGAGCGTTAGACTGAAGATCTAAAGGTCACCAGTTCGATCCTGGTTCGGGGCAATGTTTTGCGATATGTTATTTCGCTCTGATTTATGAGCGTTTTGCAAGCATGCCAATGCTCAACATCGGGTTGCAAAAGCTTGGGTCCAGGACATTTGTTAGTAACGAGGAAGTGTGAGCTGAGACGAGTGCAGGGCCTCGATAGCTCAGTTGGGAGAGCGTTAGACTGAAGATCTAAAGGTCACATCAGTCGAGTCCTGGTTCGGCGCAATCGTTTGGCGGCATGTTTTCTGTTTTGCGAAATGCTTCTGATCTAATGAGCGTACACATTGCTCATAGCGGCTCAACATGGTTGCAAAGTTGTCCTACAGTTTTGCTAGTAACGAGGACGTGTGAGCTGAGACGAGTGCAGGGCCTCGATAGCTCAGTTGGGAGAGCGTTAGACTGAAGATCTAAAGGTCACCAGTTCGATCCTGGTTCGGGGCAATGTTTTGCGATGGTTGATCTGCTTCTGATTATGGTAGCGTACATTGCTCATTGCGCTCACATGTTGCAAAGTTGTCCTAGCAATTTTGTTATAACCGAGCGACAGTGTGAGCTGAGACGAGGCGGGCGAGGGCCTCTCGACTAGCTCAGTTGGAGAGGCGTGTTAGACTGAAGATCTAAAGGTCTATCCAGTTTCGAAGTCCTGTTTCAGGGGCAATCTCTTTGCGATAGTTGAATCTGCTTCTGATTTATAGCGTTCACCATTTGCCATGCTCAATGGGCACCAAGTTGTCCTATAGCATTTGTTTTAGTAACGAGGAAGTGTGAGCTGAGACGAGTGCAGGGCCTCGATAGCTCAGTTGGGAGAGCGTTAGACTGAAGATCTAAAGGTCACCAGTTCGATCCTGGTTCGGGGCAATGTTTTGCGATGTTTGATCTGCTTCTG